CCCCCAAAACCCCAAAACCCCAAAACCCCGTTTTAGGTTATAAAAATTGATAAGTTAACTTATATTTAATGGCTCATTACGGCCTCCCTGATGATGCTCCTGTAATGATTATCAGCTAACTATCTAGCTTCCCAGATACATCAAGAGGATTAAAAGTCTTGAGGATATGCAGCAACAGTTGCTTCTGCTTAATACTCGCAATGAAAAAGAGATTGCAAGAATTCAGAAAATTTAAACGCAAAACTAGAACTAAGAAGAAAATTATTATTAAGAAAATGATTCTCAATCCTGATTTCCGAATGGAAGCTGAAGAAATCAAGGTGATACACAAGAAGAAAATTAGGAAAGCACCTCTGTGTGTCAGTCATGGTAGCCCAAAGAAGATCTTAAAGAGATGTAGTAACTTTGTTGAGAAAGGGAAGGATGAATTATTTTTAAACCTCTCTTTGACAGATTATCTACCACAAAAATTGATTATTAAATAAGTCTCCAGACTCGCTATTCTCTCCCAGAGTAGTAGTTGGGGATACATCTAACGCTGTGTATAACTCTCCTGGGAATAAACAAAGGAGCTTCTTGCAGGTTATTTACAACCGTGTTACCAAAAAGAAGTTCTTGGAGAAGCAAAAACTCAAATTTCTTCTCAGTAAGAGCAGGAATAAATCACACCCTGATTCCGAAGACTTTGACTTGAATGCTCATCGGATAGAGCTTCTTGAGGAAATTTTGAGGAACATCCGAGAGAAAAGTGTGTATAAAATACACACTAAGCAGATCAAAGAATGTTTTAGAGATGACACAGAGATTTTAGGTACGTTTACCAACTAATTTACATAGCTTATGCCAAAAAATTAAGGGAGTACCAGCTGAAGTTCCTGTCTCATCTTCTCAAGAGGAAGAAAGCTCAAGACGAAGAGATGATACATCTTGAGAATAACTTGCTTAAGAAAATAGTAAATACAAGGTAAATTTGAGGGAATTCTATTCGCGTTCAGAATATGTTAAGAATAAAATATTTGCTCTTGAATTATCATTCGTCGAGAGTAAAGAAAGTTTATTAGTATTTATAGACTTGTCAAGCGAAAAGGATTGTTTTGACAAAGAGAAGACTATTACCGTCTAAAAATGTCAAGGTCTGCTAAATTTTCATCTACTCCGATGCGTTCAGGATCAAAACTATCAAATGGGCAAGGCACAACAAACTTCTCTTTTCATGACCCAAGATCTATTGAGAGGAGATTTTGACCTCCCATTTCTTCTCATGAACTATCCCTTGGACAGCGTAATAGGTTGATGTTTTCTGATAGAATAAATATGAACTCTGTGGTATCCCTTAGATAGTAAACCTATATTGCTTGATTTATGAAATTATTCAATTTTCTCAAGAAACAAAGGGGTTTTGGGGTTTTGGGGTTTTGGGG